TATCTATCTATCTATTTTAGTCTCTTCATATCTATCTTTCTATCTCTGAATATATGTTAGTTTCTTCATATCTATCTATCTATCTATCTATCTATCTACCTATCTATCTATCTATCTATCTATCTATCTCTGTTCGTATCAATCTATCTATCTATAGTATCAATAAAAAGAATACCCGCTCGGCCCGGTGGCTAGGATCAAAGTGTAGTATCTGCGCTTTGTGAGCTGCCGAGCCGGGTGTCTGTCGAACTCTCTGCTTGCAGAGAGGAACCCTGACGAAGCTCCGCCGAAGGGTAGGGTTTCGTTGGGGGAGGTTGACGGAACTAGCCTGCTTGGACGGGTTTAGATGGGTTTTATTTTTGGCTGGGCCTACGGGCTCAGACATACCCACATTAAAAAGGCCTTGTGCCGCATTCAATTCCTGTGGGTGAATTGATAAATACCATCAATCTATCTATCTATCTATCTATCTCAGTTTGTTCATAGCTATCTATCTCAGTCTGTTCGTATCTATCTATCTATCTATCTATCTATTAAATAAATATCTCTGAATATATTTATTTTTTTCATATCTATATTTTTATCTCTGAATATATTTTGTTTCTATCTATCTATCTATCTATCTATCTATCTATCTATCAATCTCAGTCTGTTCATTATCTATCTATCTATCTATCTATCTATCTATCTATCTATCTATGCGTCTGTCTCTGTTACCGATGTTTGTTCGTATTTAGCTATCTACGAATGCGACCATAGCGCAGTGGTTATCCACGCGGAAATTGAAATTGAGGCCGTTAAATACGCCTTTCCATGATTATACATCTAGTCAATATTAGCAAATCCAGCCTAGTAAATACATAATGGTCACGGAATCCGTAGCAACAGAAAAAAACATCTATCATCTATCTATCTATCTATCTATCTATCTATATATATATATATATATATATATATATATATATATATATATCACAGTCTTTTCATTATCTATCTATGTATCTATCTATCTATCTCAGTTTTTTATTATGTAACTTTTTTTCTTTATCTATCTATCTATCTATCTATCTCAGTCTTTTCATTATCTAACTATGTATCTATCTATCTCAATATATATCACATATATTAGTGTAATTCGGTTCACTTGACATGGTTAACTCGTGGCCATTTATTTCTTTCTTTCCATCTTTATTTATTTACTTATTTATTTCTTAGTTTCGTAATCTATCTATCTATCTATCTATATATATATATATATATATATAGAGAGAGAGAGAGAGAGATAGAGATAGATATATATATGTGTGTGTGTCTGTGTGTGTGTGTGTAAAAAGGGTGTATATATATATATATATATATATATATATATATAATTATTTATATATTATATGCGCGGTATATGTGTATGTATATAGACAACAGCACACATTTACATACATATGTCAAATCCTATACTGTCCACATATGTTTATATCTGTATGAGTCCCGGCGGACGAGCGTGTATGTGTGTCTGCGTACCTCAACGGGGGTACGGACATGCATCTATGTTTGCGTTAGCATGAGTGACATCGACGACGGTCCCCCCCCAACTTCCATAACAACACCAATACACGCAACCTACATAAAACCAAAATTTTTAAAAAATAGTCAGTTTGTTTGACGATCATAAAAGCGTGAAACCCAGGGTCACATCAATCCAATATATATATATATATATATATATATATATATATATATATATATATATATATATATATATATATATATATATATAGCGCAGTGTATGTGTGTCCGTCCGTTTTTCAATTTCTCTTAGTGTATATCTAATATAATGATGTTGTCCAAACATCCACTCATCACCGCCACGCGTACATCTACATACGAAAAACGCAATTTTGTGGGTGTACATATTTTCCTATATAAACAATATATTCTGCAAGTTTCAGCACATAAAAAAAATCTGTTGGCATTGACAACTTTTGGGGATGTTAGGTTTCATTATATATTCATCGTAAATTTTTATTTATAAACAAATCCAAAAGTCTTTGGCAAGAGAAACAGATTGAAGCGAAGGTAATTAATATTCAACTCATTCCGATTCTTCGAGCAGTAAAGAAAAAAAAAGAGAAACATTTCCTGAAAAACTAGTAACAGAAATGTAATCGAAAAAAAAAAAACAGTATTTCAGAAACAACGAAAAAATAAATTTATCGCAAGTAACGCATACATAAGCTAAAAAAAAAAAAATCTCTAAAACAGATACTGAATTTCTGGTTAAAATAGAGTAAGGATATGGGAAGTGTTTCGATATTTAAATGCCTTTTTTAAAAATCCAGGTTTGTGTCGATGTATCTATGTTTGAAAATTTTTATGCAGACATATTGTAAAGCGGATTGTTATGGTATTTCTAATGCTAGTTGTCTGCTTATAAGTTGACTGTAATGACAAAAGTACACAGGTATAGGCTTTAAGAAAGCTTTATTCAACCGAGAATACAAGATTCGCGTATAGTGCCCTTTTATAATCCCAGCAAATAGAAATAGCTCTCTCAAAGAGGAGAGTAACAAAACAAGGGGAGACCACTCTTGATTATTCATAACAGCATCATATAATGTTTAAATATGAATACATTTGAAAAATATATATTTGTTATTTCTTTCAACTTTTAACTGGGATTTCCTAAAAAGGATAACATCAGTGTAATGACAAAAGTACCCAGGTGTAGGCTTTAAGAAAGCTTTATTCAACTGAGATATCTATAGATAATGAAAAGACTGAGATAGATATCTCAGTTTTTCGTTGTCTATCTCAGTCTTCGCATTATCTATCTATCTATCTATCTATCTATCTATCTATCTATCTATCTCATTCTCTTCATATCTATCTATCTATCTCATTCTCTTCATATCTATCTATCTATCTATCTATCTATCTATCTATCTATCTCAGTCTCTTCATATCTATCTATCTATCTATCTATCTATCTATCTATCTATCTATGCGTCTGTCTCGGTGAGCTCATTATCTGTTACCGATTTTTGTTCGTATTTAGCTATCTACGGATCCGACCTTAGCGCGGTGGTTATCCACGCGGAAAGTGGAATTGAGGCCGTTAAATACGCCTTTCCACGATTATACAGCTAGTTAGTATTAGCAAATCCAGCCTAGTAAAAAATATAATGGTCACGGAATCCGTAGCAACAGAAAAACAGGGCATCTATCTATCTCTATATATATATATATATATATATATATATATATATAAAAATATAATATCACGGAATCCGTAGCAACTTTTCATCTATCTATCTCTATATATATATATATATATCTATCTCAGTCTTTTCATTTTTATTATATCTATCTCAGTTTTTTTTTTTCTTTATCTATCTATCTATCTATCTATCTATCTTTCACAGTCTTTTCATTATCTAACTATGTGTCTATCTATCTCAATATATATCACATATATTGGTGTAATTCGGTTCACTTGACATCGTTAACTCGTGGCCATTTATTTCAATAAAGAATTTACAGGGTTAGCGTTTCTTTCGTTCGTTTTTATTTGTCTTTCATAATTTCTTAAACTATATTTAACATATTGGTGTTGTTTGGTTCAAGTAGGATGGTTAGTTTGTGGCCATATATTCCATATGGATGTTTACAAGGCTAGAGTTTTATTTATTGCTAATTTTCTTTCTTTGAATTCAGCTATCGACTTATCTCAGTCTCTTAATTCATATATAAGATATTGGTGTTGTTCGGTTCACCTCGCACGCATCCTGTAACAACTTGCACTGTATGGCGTAACGACACCTAGTTCAGTCTATACTATTATCATTATCCTTGTCTCCCATAATAAATTTGTTATAACGGATCCACACGCCAAGTTATTTGAAATGCGTGGGAGTTATTAATTCCACATACTGAGTGTTTATGATGGATTCAAAGTAGGTGCCATCTTTGCTTCCTTTCCAATTCCAGATCACAGTTTCTATTTCGGGATGGTTAAACGTGATTCCGATTTCTTTGAATATTTGGTCGAGATTGTTAAATTATTTTGGTCAAGTCCATTCTTATCCCAACAATATCCCCATTACCATATGCTTTCCTTCATCATCAGTACACCTCTCAGGTACGCCTGTGTTGGTTTAAAATCCACAGAGCGAACCGGAGTTTTATATAGCATCTAAGCTTAGTAAATCCTGATTCAGGATGAAATCACATAATCTGGAGGGGGGAATGATCAACAGTTCAATAAAACCACTACGCTCAAACCATCGATCAATACAACGTTGTGATTTTTGGGATGTAAGTTTTGATGTAATGGATATCGACTCCGAGTGGGAATAGATAGATAGATAGATAATGAAAATACTGTGATATATATATATATATATATATATATATATATATATATATATATATATATATAGATAGATATAGTTGTGGATTCCGGGTTGAAATCCGGTACCAATAAATAACAAACGTCAGGAATGAATATATGGAAATAATATATTAACGTAATAATACAAACTGGTAAAGCAGGTTAGTAATTCCAGGAATACGGGTTAGTAGCGATATATATATATATATATATATATATATATATATATATATACAATCTTTGTTATTGAAATATCGCTGTATGGCTTCTTACTGAGTCTACGTTCTCTCTCACTGTGACTCCTACAACGCTGTTACCTCATCCCTCACTCTTCCGGTAACCTACAACCTTTCACTCTGGACTCGGCTCTTCGGTCTTGCTTTGTCTTACTCTTGCAGTAGTATATGTATATACTGGCTGAGTCCATTTGTGTAAGTGAGTCAGTCGTTCACTTTTGAACGGACTGTTCGGTTGAACTCTCTTCTTACGGACAGGAGGAACACGAAGGAGGCTGCGCCGAAGGGCGGAATCTCCTACGGGGAGGTAAACCGGCACTAAACCCGTTTATACGGCTTCAATGGGCATATTTTTGGCCGAGCCAACGGGTCGGAATGCTCACGTTAAAAAGGCCTTGCGCCACATGACACCCTCGTGGGGGGTGACTCAATATCGTCCATTTGTGTTAAAAGGGGTGGACCCCTCAACACCCCTTCCTTAGATCCCTTTCGGAGGGAAGTTAGTATTTTTTCCTCTTATGGTCGATAATCAGAGGTTCGGTAAATTTTCTCTCCTATTTGACCTTCTAGTTTCTGCGTCTTCCTGTGGTCTTTGAATCTCAAAAGCTTCAAATGTTGCATCCATTGAATCGTCATTTTCAGCGGGTGACGAGCTTGGCTCTTCAACCCGTATTTTTTGTATTTGATCAATATGTCTTCTGTGGGTAAACTTTTCGCCTTGTACTGTGTACATCACATTTCATAGTCTGTTAATTATTTTGCCAGGCTCCCAGTAAGCCATATTGTCCCTGAACATCCTAAAGTAAACCCGTTTTCCAGGTTTGAATGATCTCTTGTGTACTATAAGTGTATGCTGGTGATTATTCTTGTTAGGCAATAACTTATCAAACACAGGCCGTATTTTCCGGGCAAACATCACTTCCGCTGG